AACCAAAATTTAATGAACTGGAAAAACAAATGATTCTGCCATTTTTGCTGAAGACTTTGAGTCTCCTTTCCATAATCAAAATAACCAGTAAACAAATAAGGCAAGAAAAGAGACTTGAGCACCACTGTCAAACAACTTTGGCATAATTATGAAACACTGAAATTCACTAAACACGAAGCAGTCACCAACGTATACCACATCTGGATCATAAAACAAATCTAAATACATTGTTCTTTTTGTAAGATTTATTTAATTTTATTGGAAAGGCAAATTCACAGAGAGAAGGAAAGTCAAAGAGAGAGAGCCTTTGTCCAATGATTCACTCTTCGAGTGGTTGCAACAACCAGAACTAAGTCGATCTGAAACCAGGAGCTTCTGGGTCTCCCGCATGAGTGCAGGGCCTCAATGCTTTGCATCGTCCTCTACTGCTTTCCAAGGCTACAAGCAGCGGGCTGGATGGGAAGTGGAGCAACCAGGACACTAACCAGCACCCACATGGGATCCTAGCATGTGCAAAGCGAGGATTCAGCCATCATGCTGGGCCCAAACACATTTATTCTTTCCTTTTCCCCCCGCTTTAACCATGTCAGAATTAAACTAAAATGCATTAAAAAAAAGTATCTAGAAAATCTCCCAACTATATATACATCAATGAACTTTAGAAAGTCATGCCAAATTACACCAAATTGTACAGTTACCCACAGTGTGTAGGAAATTGTCGGACTTCCTGGCAAATGAAAACCTCTTCAGTGTTCCGTGTCCTACTATTCCCAGCCTTGTTATTCTGTCTATCGATGAAGCAATACCAGCTTCCTTTTGGTTAGTGTTTGCCTAGGGTGTCCTTCCCCTTCTTTTCCAGTTCTGTTCCTCAGTCCAGCTTCCTGCTAGGATGCACTCTCTTGGGAGGTGGCAGATGATGGTGCAAGTACTCCAGGTCCCCGACATTGACCTGGGGGACCCAGAATGAATTTGGGGCTTTGGGAGACTTTCCCTTCCATCTCATGGATCTCATGGCCACTTGATTGGATGACAGGCTGGGAAAGTGAATGTCTAGGAATAGGGTTAAAGTTGGCATGAGACAATAGCTATTTAGTCTGATGACTTACCTTTAGCTGCATTCATTCATAAATACTCTGTTCTTCATTGTTGAATATTTAATCCTGTCTGCCAAGCAATCCTGCCCCTATACTCCTTAATTTTAAAGAGCTTCAATAAGTTCATAGAAAATGCATAATTATGAAAGAACTATGTATAAATTTCACAAGTTCCTATACCAAATTACACTTATTTTTCAATTCCATTTTCCACTTTAGTATTTATATTTAATTTAAATTTGATAATAAATGTCAGTTTTAATAAATATCAAGTTTTAATTTGATATGAATTTAATCTGGCATGAAATATCACATATTTGCGTTTAATATCTAAGACATATATTCCTTTTTTCTGAGACTGACAATCCTAGGGGCAAGGCATACTGTCACATTGAAAAACACAGGGGCTGTAAAAATCAGCAAGGAACAGAGGACCAGAGCGGCTTGGCAGCAACATTCATAACCTTCACAGGCGCATACATACAAATTTGTCCAGCAAGACAAGAGTCTTTGTTCCCCTGACATTAGCTCTGACAAAATTTATCCTACAGATCTTTCCAGAAGAGAAATTAGTGGCAAAATAGGCAATGCCTTAGGATATAGTTTTCCCTTTTTTAAAAAAAGATTTATTCTATGTGTTTGAAAGGCAGAGTTACAGAGAAAGGAGAGAAGTCTTCCATCACTGGTTCACGTCCCAGATTGCCTCAACATCTAGGGCTGGGCCTGTTCAAAGCCAGAAGATTCATCTGGGTCTCCCATATAGGTGAAGGGGCATAAGCACTTGGGCCATCTTCCACTACTTTCCCAGGGAGCTGGATTAGAAGTGGAGCAGTCAGAACTCAAACTGGTGCCCATTTGGGATGCTGATGATATAGGCAGCATCTTAACTTGCTATGGCACAACGTTGCCCCAGATAGAGTTTTCTTAAAGATACCAATTCTTCAAATACAGGTGTCGCATAGAACCCAAAACTCTATGAAGCTATGTTTAGTTATATCATTATTGTAGGTAATTAATAAAGTTTTTAGAGACATTATTAACTGTGGATTATCTGTACAAAATGATGAATTGTTGTGGTCTTTATTTTACCAAATCTTCTTAGAATTATACTGAAGTCCTTACTATGTATGCCCACGGGGCCATTTGTCAGTCTCTGTTTCATTTCAGTGGAAGGATTTGGCCCCAACTCTCTTGTCTTCAGGAACCCAAAGTTAAGCAGAATGTGTGCCAGGTCTGCATATGAGTCTCAGGTCTTAGCAGTGAACCCGTGGACTCAAGGCAGCCTGGCAGCACATGTGGACTGCCCTGGTGGGACAGCAAAGTCCAAAGTGGACAACAGGGTAGGGGAGATGAGACCTAACGCTGGGTCTGCACACCTTAATGGCCTGCTGGCCATGGGACAGGGGTGGGGTTTGGCAAAAATAGAAGAGATTGCAAAACAAAGTCCCTCTGGTGGAGGTGAGCTTTGGTAGCAAGTTTCCAACAACTCTATGTTATAAAAAATAAGATTTCTTTAATTTGAAAGAGCTACAGAAAGATAGATAGGAGAGAGATCTTCTATTCACTTTTTTACTTCCCAGATAGCTGCAACTGCCATGGCTGGGCCAGGTTCAATCCAGGAACTCCATTCAGGTCTCCCACATGGGTGCTGAGACCCAAATACTTGGGACATCTTCATATGTTTTTCTAGGCGCATTAGCAGGGAGCTGGATCAGAATTTGAATAGCCAGGACTTGAACCAGTACCCACATGGGTTTCTAGCATTTTAAATGGTGACTTACCCTCTTCACTACAACATTGGCTCCCATCTCGCTGTATTATTTTTTTTGAATGGCTGAAGCTGCTCCTTACAGCCCGCTTGAAGCAGTCTGAGGTCACAGAGTCCTCAAGATGAGGCTCTAGATTACGTATTGATGCTCTTCATTAGTGGCTGTCTCCATAATCAATTTCCATCAATCCTTGCTAAGGCTATTGCTTTAGAGCTAACAGAAAACAGGAGGCACTACACTGAAAAAAGTCTCATTTCTTTCCTTCGAATAGCCATTTAAATCCTTCATGTTTCGTCTTTCTCAGAAGAACCTCACCTAAGAATGCTAGACTAGGCCCATTGTCAAAGGTGGTCAGATTTGTTCCGAAGCACCAGAAGATACCTGCCTGTGACACGCTGTAGTCCAAAAGTCGTTGCTTACAGATTTGATCAATTTCCAGATACTGCCTCTCACTCGTGTCATGGGCCCAAGTCCCTGTGGTTTTGAGCATCATCTTTTTTGAATGGCCACACAGTAAGGGTACCCTGAGCCATCAGTGTCTGTGAGCTCCCCATCCTCGGATTCAACTGACTCCAGATCAAAACTATTTGGAAAGTGGAGAATCAAGATGGCGGAATAGGGTAAGGACACGTTTAAACAGATGGAGAAACGTTTAATTAGGATGAAGCAGAGAGGACACATTCCAGGAAATAGGAGAGGACAGAACATCAGTAGCATCATTTTCTTCAAGAAGTTTCTTTATTTTCATTTCTTCAACTACACATTAGTCATTTAGTAGCATGTTATTTAACTTCATGGTATTGTTAATTTCTTTTTTCTTCTTGATATTGACTTTGTTTTGTGGCTTTTCATTTAAGGGGATGTATAGTAGGTGTGTAATGGAGACTGTCATGTCTAGTAACATGTTATTTAATTTCATGGCATTGTAAATTTCTACTTTTCTTTCTGTTGTTGATTTTGCACTATGACTTTTCATTTGAGCGGATGTACAGTAGCTGTAAAATGGAGACTAACATCCAGATGTGAGGATACAATGTAGTATGCATTTCTACTTCCAGATAAAGATGGACTTACAATGAAACTGTTTACTGTATCTTGACAATAGGATTCTGGACTCTCTGCCATTGTCCATGCCCACAATGATGGACATATGACTGTATATGAAGAACTATGCTTTAGTAATGAGATAGAGGAACTAGGTGGAGTGAGGGGATTGGGGCTGGGATAAGGGAAATACCAGGAGCCTATGGACCTGTATCATAAAATGATAAAAATAATAATTTAAAAAAACTATTTGGAAAGTAAATTATTTCTGTACTGAACATGCAGCAGACTTCGAATATTGCCATTCGTAATTCCTCAAATGATACAGCCTAACACAGTGGCATTCACATGTGTTAGATATTCTAAGTCAGAGCAATTTCAAGAATACCAGAGGACATGCATAGGTTCGATTAGAAATAGCCTCACCTGTCCACTCAAATGATGGACTCAAACTCAGGAAGGGCAGCAAAAACAAGACTTTTTTTTTTAGTTGTCTTGCAAGATCAGAAAGCATACAATGGTTCATAGCAAGCTATTTATTCTCTAGCATGCAGGCAGGCCCCTCCCCCAGTTCCTCACTGGCTGAGTACTAAAGGGTTACAATCTTCCCAGCATTTGCTTCAGCTGTTCTGGCCATGCCTCACATCCTGCTTGTCTGAGAACCTCCCAAGGTTCTTGTAACCTAGCTGTTATGCTAACCAGCCACTTGCAACTTTCCCCACAAGCTATTATTGCTAGCTAATTATCTCCTCAGAGCTAAACACCTTGCTTTGAAAGTGAACTTCTCATAGATTCTATGCAAAACGCTAAGCAATTGTTTATAAGGGAGTTGAGCATCTGTAGATTTTGAGATGGTGAAGTGGTGGGGTGTTCTGATGGAGCTGATGCTGCCCACACTTTTTCATTTTCCTTTTGCAGTCAGGGGTCCCTGATGTTTTCTGTGGAAAGGATGCAGACAAGGGTGGCAGTGAGCAGGTAGCGGGGATTGGGGGAGCATTGCCTTTCATAGCATGAACTCCAAAGCATTTCCCCAACCCCCACCCAGGGCTGTCTTTTTCTGGAAGAGGTAATACTGCACCCTTTCCACCTGCAGCCACCTTCACCACATCTCAGAAGCCACCAAAGGAGCTGGAAGAAGAAACAGACTTCCACAAGAAGCAAAAAGCAAAGGTATTCACACCCATAACTACAGAAAGGAGACTGTTCTTACAACATGCATTTGAGATTTTTGGCTGTACCCACCTGTTGCAGAGCCATACCCTTCCCATGGAAACAAATGCTATTTCTCCAGAGGCTGGATGGTTGCACAAGTCCACTTCAAGTCAGCTGATGGTGACACCATCAGTGGGGTCTGAAACAGAACAACTGGGTGAATCCCTGCTAGGGCTGGCCAGAACACCAGAAGCCAGGGATACACTAGCTGCTGTGCACAGGCCCTTTCTTCTCCATCCTTCCCCCAGTGGGCCCTGCAGGAGGGACCCAGGCAGCTTCTGATTAGAGCTATTGGTGTAAATATTGACTTTGTGCAACTCTCTCTCCTGACCAAAGAGGACTTGGAAATCTGTGCCTGGTTGTCTAAGGGATGGGGAAATCATTCGCTAGTGATTAGCTGCTGCATGCCTGGCAAGAGGGGGCTGCCGGACCAGCAGAGCGCAGTGGGGACACTGGGGATAACGTTCTGAGCCTTCTGTGTTTAATAGAATTGCCCACCAAGTGTCATTTTGATTTAATTCTCATTCTTCATTGCAGGGGAAAGGCAGAAGATCAAGAGGATACCACACTAGGAAGGTCTGTCATCTGTGTGAGTCACTACAATTGGGGGTCTGTCGCCTAATGTTCCTCTCTTTGGCCACAGAACAAATGTATGGGAGGCCATCTCATAGGTCTAGATGGCCACAAAGCTCAGTTGTGCTTCCTTCATTGAAAAAGAAAGAAAGAAAGAAAGAAAGAAAGAAAGAAAGAAAGAAAGAAAGAAAGAAAGAAAGAAAGAAAGAAAGAAAGAAAGAAAGGAAGGAAGGAAGGAAGGAAGGAAGGAAGGAAGGAAGGAAGGAAGGAAGAAAGAAAGAAAGAGGAGGAAAGAAAGAGGAGGAAAGAAAGAGGAGGAAAGAAAGGAAAAGAAGGAAGAAAGAAAAGCCAAGGTTCATCGAAGGGTGAAACCTTTCTCCACCCTCTGTCAGAGCAGAGTTGCTTGCTAGGCTTCAGGCCAAGCCACTGATTCCACTGATTTAGCATCCTTAGTATCCGGCCAAATCACACCCGTCTCTCCAATTAGAGACTGTTACCTTTGAAACCATAAAACCTATAAAAGAAATAGAGTGCAAAAATACACTCAACCGTGTCCTGGGATGCATCTTGCGTGTGTGCACTTACCTGAAACGCACCCATACGTGAGTGTGTGTGTATAAAAGACAGAGAGAGAACACACATGAATAATGTCATAGGTATAAGTTTGGGATTTAGACTTAAGCTGGTCACAATGAAGGTAAAAAAAAATATTGGACAAATGAAAAAGTCCCCTCAACCTGGCAAGTCTGTGCTGGCGTGGAACAATGCCCTGGATCCCAAAAAGGTGACAACAGCCTTGGAGGCCAAGCAGAGAGGAGCTGGATTCTTCTCTTGGCAGCCAAGTAACTGTGAGCCGGTCACTTGGATTCTCTAGACCTCTCTTTTCCTCCTCTCACCAAACGGAGAGATGCCTCCTGTCCCCCAGGACTGCTGCAAGGATCAGACAGGTTCATGGGTTTGGAAGCACCATGGAAACACACAGCACTTGTTACCATAACTCACCAGTCCATCCAAAAAAAATGGATTCATAAAAAGTGTACATCTCTATGGGGACCATGCAATGTTTTGATATACTAATTAGTTTTAAAAAGCCATCTTCTAGGCTTAGCTTTCCTTTTTTTTTTTTTTAGATTTATTTATTTTTATTGGAAAGTCAGATAGACAGAGAGGAGAGACAGAGAAGAAGATCTGTCTGATGATTCACTCCTCAAGTGACTGAAACAGCCAAGGATGAGCTAATCTGAATCCAGGAGCCCGAAGTTTCTTCCAGGTCTCCCACGCGAGTACAGGATTACAAGGCTTTGGACCATCTTCTACTGCTTTCCCAGGCCACAAGCAGGGGGGCTGGATGGGAAGTAGGGCTGCTGGGACATGAACTGGCAGCCATAGGGAATCCCGGCACATGCAAAGCAAGAACTTTAGCTGCTAGGCTACCACATCGGGCCCTTAACTTTCTTTTTTAAAAGATTTATTTTGGGCCCAGCACAATGGCCTAGCGGCTAAAAGTCCTCGCCTTGAACGCCAGGATCCCATATGGGTGCTGGTTCTAATCCCGGCAGCCCCTCTTCCCATCCAGCTCCCTGCCTATGGCCTGGGAAAGCAGTCGAGGATGGCCCAAAGCCTTTGGGACTCTGCACCCGTGTGGGATACCCAGAAGAAGTTCCTGGCTCTTGGCTTCGGATCGGCATAGCATCAGCTGTTGTGCTCACTTGGGGAGTGAATCATCAGACAGAAGATCTTCCTCTCTGTCTCTCCTCCTCTCTGTATGTCTGCCTTTCCAATAAATAAATAAGTCTTTTTTGGAAAGGCAGATTTACAGAGAGATCATCAATCCACTGATTTGCCTCCCAGATGGTTATAACAGCCAGAACTCAGCCAGGAGTCAGGAGTGTCCTCTGCATGTCCCATATGGGTACGGGAACCTAAGGATTTAGGCCATCCTCTGCTTCTTTCCCAGGTCATAAATAGTAAGCTGGATTGAAAGTGGAGCAGCCAGGACACAAACCGGCACCCATATGGGATGCCAGCACTGCAGGCAGAGGGCTACCGTGCTATGCCACCATACCAACCATAAGTTACTTTGTTTCTTTCTTTTCTTCTTCTTCTCCTTCTTCTTCTTTTCCTTTAAGGGTGATGAGAGGATCACACACACAGAGACCACAGAGATAGGCAGAGAGAGATATCTTTGATCTACTAGTTCACTCCCCATGGCCTTAATGTCAAGGACTAGGCCAGGCCAGACCTCCCATATGGGTAACAAGGACCCATGGACTTGAGTTATCTGCTGCTGCTTTCCCAGGTGCATTAGTAGGAAGCTGAATCAGAAGGGAAGCAGCCAGGTCTTGAACTAGCTCTCCAGTTTGCTGGTGTTACAAGCAGAGGCTTAGTGCCCTGCACCACCAGGGCCACTCAGGCTCTGCATTCTAGTGGGAGCGGCAGTCACCCATTTTCCAGGATAAGGAGTCCCACCTTTCCCACCATGCCTCCAGAACTGTGAGAGAGGACAGGGCTGCGTCAGCCATGAGGATCTCATGCGTTCCTTGAGAATCCAGACAGAACGCTCGCAGATACACTGATCAATACGAGATCCTTCCTCTTGCCTCCCTTCACTTTGAATGGAAAGAAACTACCAGCTGGGCTCTGCACAGCAAAGGTGACATGTGATTTGACATGCCCAAAGGCATGATTTGTCTGGAAAGTTTGTAGCTGCTGATGTCCACTGAGCATGCCCCGTGGGCATGACCCTGGGGACCTTCCATACTCATGGACCCCTCCTAACAGATCCCTGGAACCTGCACACCATCAAAGTGTCGTTGTTCCTCAATCAGAGGGTAAGGGGTTGGGTCACAGTTCTCCCCACAGACCTTGCCAGGATCTCTTCTCCAGGGGCCAGTTTTTCAAATATTGCTCTTATTGGTAGCGCTGTCACTGGGGCAGCAAGCATGCAGGGAGTGCTCCCTGGGTCACAGGCGAACAGTCTCACTGGGATTTCACAGCATCTCCAGGTGCAGGGACCACTCTTGTTCCCATTTCCTGGAGGAACTGGATACCGACAGGTTAAGTCATCTGACTGGTAAATGTCACAGCCACCATACAAAAAGGGGCTGTGTGACAACCAGAGCCTCAAGGCATTAGGGATTTTAAAAAGTTGATTATTTTGGATGGAAATCTTTGTAAAAAATGGTTACATCTCAGCGTAGTGTCATGTGTTCAGTAACCAGGTTGACTTATACAGTCATCAGTGTTCATGTCTGCGGCCGTAGCCGTGACCTCTGCCGTCATGTCTGCCATGGGGAGACTTTGGTGGCCTTTTCTGTCTTTTAGGTCTGTTCGTCAAATAGACAAACTCAGGAAGTTAAGTCCACTTGAGTCGGTTGAGTTCAATCCAAGGATCCAAAATATGAAACAAAATAAAAGAATGACCCAGATAGAGTTTGTGACCGTTGTTTCAAAAATTCAGGGCAGCTTGATTTTTAGGAATCTAATAGAAAAGTTTGATGTTTTGAGGCCAGAAGTTGGCACAGCAGTTAGGACCCTGCTGAGGGTCCCCGCAGCCCATCCGAAGGGTCAGGGTTTGCATCCTGTCTTCGCTCCTGAAGTCTCAAGTCCAGCTTCATCCTAAAGCGCACCCTAGGAGGCAGTAGTGCTGGCTCCAGTACGTGGGTCCCTGTCACCCACACGGAAGACCCAAATTGTCTTCCTGGCTCCCAGCTTTGATGTGTGCCTGGCACAGCTGCTGGTGGTATTAGGAAGTGAATGAACCAGCAGATGGAGTATCTCTTTTGTTCTCTGCCTTTCATGTATAGTTTAAAAAAATTCTCTTTAAAAAGATGCAAGCTTTGTATTTTAGCTCCCTCCTTGAGGTAGAACCTCTTGGCAAAAGCCTGCGGGCATTCTGGAATCTGCAGAGCTCCCCCGCACTTTCCCTCCCTCAGAGCTCCAGAACACAAATCCACAAATGACTCCGGGGACCACAGTACAGCTTTGTATTGGAGAACCAGTCCACCTGGTTGCAAGCTGTAGTCTCAGCATTCACTCATTCACTCCTTGCTTCATCCATTCATCCATCCAGCTCATCCTTATCTCTGACCACAGACTGGGCCAGTGTTCTAGCCACTAGGGACCCAGGTCTGAACAAAGCAAACTGAGTTCCTGTCTTCTTGGGATTAATATGCTAGCGAGGGAGGCGATGACTCACAGACACTTGATGCAGTGTCAGAGAGAAAAAAAAAAAAAGGCAAAATACCCACGGAGCTGGGATGTTGGAATTCTGTGAAATGCATTCTTTAGCAACCTGTGATCAACGCAGTTGCCATGCACACATTCCCCCACCCCACCCCACCACCCTTGGGACAATGAAGACTCTAGGCTTTGCCCAGGAGATGGTGTGGGTCCTTTCTGATGCGTTATCTACTGTGGTTGTCTGGGGGAGACAACAAAGCTGTGATGCAGTGTTTTTGCTCAGATACCCAGGAATCCACACTGCGTATGTCTCCCCTCCTCTCAGTCCGTATCTCCAGCAGACCCAGCCCATCCATCCTCACTGTCCCGAGTGGTCCCTAAGTGTGTCCCAACCTCTTCAAGCATGTTAGAAAGGCAGCAGGAACGATGAAGTCGATGCGGCAGTGAAAGGAGGCACGTGCCTTGGAAAGGAAATTGCACGGTTGACTGAAATTGACTCTACATTCATTGACAAAAAAAAAAAAAAAGAAGAAAAAGAAAAATTTTTTCCCAATTCTGTTCTGTTTGGTCTGCGGTCAGATTCTGGTGAGATTCCACGAGGATGGGGATGTAGCGCTCTGGGACAGATTTCAGAGTTCAGAAAGCCTCCCTTGAATGAAAGCACCTTCCAAAGTGATGGCAGAAATTCCTAGAAACTTGCTGCTCCGAGTGGCCTTTACAATGCATTCACTTTCTATGTCTCCACGCAGTGAACTCTCTGTTTCCACATATAGCCTGCCTCGTTTATTTCCCTCCCCCGCTTTTTTTTAAAGCTTAGGGAC